CTCACCCCCGGAACCTTGTCCTCACCGCCAAGAACCTTGTCCTCACCGCCAGGAATCTTGTCCTCACTGCCAGGAACCTTGTCCTCACCGCCACGACCCTTGTCGTCACCGCCAGGAACCTTGTCCTCACCGCCAGAAACCTTGTCGTCACCGCCAGGAACCTTGTCCTCATCGCCAGGAACCTCGTCCTCACCGCCAGGAACCTTGTCCGTACCGCCAGGAACCTTGTCCTCACTGCCAGGAACCTTGTCCTCACCGCCAGGACCCTTGTCGTCACCGCCAGAAACCTTGTCCTCCCCGCCAGGAACATTGTCCTCACCGCCAGGAACCTTGTCCTCACCGCCAGGAACCTTGTCCTCACCGCCAGGAACCTTGTCCTCACCGCCAGGAACCTTGTCCTCACCGCCAGGAACCTTGTCCTCACCGCCAGGAACCTTGTTCTCACCGCCAGGAACCTTGTCCTCACCTCCAGGTACCTTGTCCTCACCTCCAGCCACCTAATTTTTGGGTGGCATTTCAGACGAGGTCAGCAAGTTTTTATAACAGCGAGTTTTTATAATTTTTTTGACAAATGATGGTAAATTTGCTTTGTAAATGGTTAGTTTATTTTGAAAAATTGCTTTTCACATTGTTTTAATCATTGCCTGCATTGGCTCCAAAGACAAAAGTTGCTCAAAAGTCAAAACTTCAAAAGTTGCTCTATCAAGGCCTATTAATTAATGACTAGTTTTGGGCTATCAGACCTATAGCCTTCATTTCAACGAGTCTGATCACCATGGGCGTCTATCCTGGGGGGGGGGGGACGCGTCCCCCCAGTTTTTGGAGTGGGGGACGAATATCTAATTATCCCCCATTTTTTGACATGTGTAATGAAATTTTGTTTCTTGGTTATCTAGAAACCTAATGCATGGTATGCTGTTCATAAAAACTATGATTGTGATTGGAAGGAAGACATTTAATTAATATAGCCGCTCGGAGCAAGTACTGATATTTCATGTGTAAAATTGTAAACTGCTTAAAAATAATTGCGTTTTAACTGTCTCGTCTAACCCTTCAAGGTTACAACAGTTAGCTTGCACCTTCATATTTCCTTCATAATATGTAACGTTTAATGAAGAGAATCATTGGCGGACGCTAGGGGGGGGGGGGGCATGGGGGGCCGGATAATTCAATTAACATTCCAATTTTAATTGTGTTAACAAAAACAAAAGCGTGCGCAGCGAATAACTTTAACTCACTTAGAGAATAAATTCTACATTGTCATTTGTGTGTCAATTAAATTAAACCACCATGCTATTCCATTCACAAATGTAAATCATGTAAATATTTTCTCTGAAATGTTGTTTTTCTATGCTTAGTATGTGATTTATAACTAAATGCACCATTAAAACAGTGTTTTGAAAACCTAGTTTCTTACAAAATGTGTTCTCAGAATGCTGCAAATCCATCTCAGAATGCTGCAAATGCCATTTTAAAATTTTTCCGTGCCCCCCCCCCCCCTCTCAATATTTCGTAAAGTGTTCGCCATTGAAGAGAAGTTATATGTAAATTTCCAGGTGCTAATAAATATTGATTAACTGAGTCTCCCATACGTAGATGATTATCATCAAAATAAGGCAAATGGTTAATTTAATAGATTATTAGCATTATGAAATAAGAGTGAGGACATGTTCGTCGAGAGTGACGTCTGTTTACAAGAGGATTTCTCACATGGTTAACATTCTCACATCTCTCACGTGGATTTCGCACATTGTCATATAAATGCCTCCAAAACGCTGGGAATGCCGTTACAGTGTACCAAACTTTAAAAAAAAAATTCGGATAGCATACCTCCGGACCTTCATAGTTTGGAGTCCGTCCCCTCCACTTTTTGGGATAGATTGGCGCCCTTGCTGATCACTCCGATAGCCGAATCATTAAAAATACCCTCCCCCCTCCCTCCATCGATGATGACGTAATTAGTACGTACAGCAATTTTTTATGATAAACATTTTATGATAAATTTTTTCTGGTCGCCATGATATTACAATATAATATCCCTGACGCCTGATTAACGTACGCATGCGCTCAAATTACTGCTTCGCCACGAAATTTTCTTTGTTGACATCCAATTTGTACTTCGCCAATATTATAATACGACAAGTACACTTGGCACGCTATAGCCTTTGAACAAGTGTGCTTGAAAAAGTTGGCAAAGTTTCATATACACCGCGCAACAAGCAAATAAAACTTGTCATCAGGATAAAAACTTCTCACAGAAAACTTGCTCGCTGGCAACCTCGTTCCCAGGGCTTTTCCCTTTTTGTCATTGGGAAGGCGGGAAAAGGCCCTGGCACCGGCCGGTCACATGACTTTCAACACCCAGACACAGAATACTACACAGAAGTCCATCTCCATTGTTTTTTGCGTAAGCGTTATTCGTCATGATTCGTCACTCGGCAACATAGATATAGGAGACCTAGATTGCTGACTTGGCTGAAGAGGCGCGCCAAATTTGAAAATCCAAGATGGCGGCTCAACCGGTCAAAAATCATAGAGCGACATAGGGAAAAACCATGTTTTTTGCATTTTACGTCGTCCTACTGTTTCCGATTCCGTTGAACCACCTTTTTTTTGGAAGAACTAACTGGTGTGAAAGTTTTGGATGTATATTTGTTATAATTAGTACGATTTACAGTTTAAAAT